CAAGACAAGAGAGATGTGAGAGTCAAAGGAGGGATGCAGAGGGCAGCGTGAAGATTTAGTCTTGTCCTTGATGTGACAACCTACAAAGCAAGGAGAGGTCAGTCAAAGATGAGGTTGAAGTTATGGGCAGTTTCAGTTTGTTTTACATGCCTGAACAAGGAAGATGAACTTTTACTTGTTAGACATTGTTACACCCTTGAACCCATCTAAAGAAGTTGTACTGGAGTTTTGAGGAGACAGGGGGATAGGAATTCTGCATGTTTGCCACTGTTTTACTGAAGTGCTTGACAATATTGCATACCAAGTGAGGGGGCAGTTAGCTCACTCACTCAGTTTCTGCTTTTTGTGGTTCACTCTGTTTCTGCTATTTGTGGTAGTGAGAAAAAAAAAGGATTTTTCTTCAGTTTTAAAAGCTCATGAAACTACATTAGCCTAATGTTCTGTTAGCTGTCTTCCTTGCTTCACAACAGTGGCATGTATTTTCACAAGAACACATCAGTGTTTTGCTGTATAGACAAAAAAGATCTGTAAGCCAGAATAAAATCTCATTCTCTTGTCTTGGTGCTGCATGTAGGACAGCTCCAAAAAACATATTAAGAAAAGTTCCTGGACTTCTTCCCATTTACCTCTTCATTAGCAAAACAAAAAAAAGACAAAAAGAGAATAAAGATTTTTAAAAAATGCAATAAACATTTTCTACCTTGAGTATCATGTTATAAAGGCAACTGCTGCATATCTAATGGACAGTTGTAAGTCAGAGCTTCTTCTGAAATAGTCTTTTGCTTGATTTGATAGCCTTATTTTGTTCCCATTATATGCCTTCTTTTGAGAAGTACAGAATTGTAAGTGATTAGGGTGGATTCGTCAGGAATAAACTTACTCATTTACACTTCCCTCTTTGTGTCCTTTCAATGAAACTGATTTTTAAAAAAAAGAACAAAAACTTGACATTTTGTTTAAAATGCTTTTGTTTACATATAAGGAGCAAGAAAAAAGTTAAAAAACTCTTCAAATATGTCTCTAAATTATTATACAAATTTGTGCCTTACAGTGTAAAATATCAGCGCTCCCTGCATCCCAATTTTAAAATCTCCAGGAACTCACAGAAACCATGTGCATAAAAATGAGACCAGCCTAGCATAGTAACAATGTGCATTAAACTTATTATAATAGCAAATGCACAAGTTTAAATCATCGAAGATTTTACAGAAGGCCCAAGAATGAGACCAATTTGCATCAGTGATTTTCATTTCTCCTTTTGCTTCTTGTACGTGTTTATTTTACACTTGAATCCATGGGTCTGTCTGTTTCTAAATTTGTCATTTGGCCCTGAGCTCTAGGGAAGATTTCTAATCTGTTTGTGTGTTGGTAGACAGCTATTGTCTTAGAGTTTTTTGAAGTACTTACTTATTTTAGATGAGAGTTCGTACAGTGTAATGCACTTATTCCTACAGGCAAGCCTTCGCTGTCACTGAGTGGTTTTTTGAGAGACAAATTTCTGCCTCATATGTGTAGCATTGTGTCCTGTGCACACTATGTACTGCCATGGCTAAAAAGATATTCCCAGAGGTACAGAACTTATAAAAAGAAAAATGACATCAGTACCACACAGTGTTAAACATTTTTCTTTTTTTCTTTTTCTTTCTCCTTTTTCTCTGCAGTCTAAGATGGAAGCAGAAAGAGCGCAGTGAGTTTCCTGCAAAAGCTGGTAGTGAGCAGTATATAAATTGCTCATTCTGCAATTTAAATAGGTAAAATGTGGAGGTGAATATTGTGTATGTGAAAAGGGAGAGAGCAACTTTTGGAAGAAAGCTACTCTGCATGAAACAAAGCTGCATCAGCCAATTCTATATGATGAATATAGCAAATTAGCTGCTGGGTTATGGATTCTGTTGCATCATTCAGTCTCTTCCCAAGAATTAGTGGGGCTGTGTTATGCTATCCATTGCTGGTACATAGGACCCTCTTCTTTTTGTCTTTTTGTCTTTTTTTTTCTGGTTCCCTTTCATATATCCCTTGCATTGAGGCAGATGATTTACAGCCTCAGTAGCTGACACACGTGCGTGTGTCTGTGTTTGTGTAGGCGCACGTGTACGTGACCTTGGTGCAGTCGGGGCAGGCGGAGCAGCTATTCTGATTAAACTCCAGCTGACAGTCTGTAACCCGACAACAGTCATTAACTCCAATACTATCCATTCCACCACATTAGCAGCTGTGCAACTTCCAGCTTGGCTTTCTGAATACTAGGAAGGAGCAGAAATAGTCTGATGTAATAGTTGGTAAATTTAGCCTCCAAAACTAATTAAAAAATAAACAGAACTTGCCACAGAACATTGCTACCCCTTGGCCCCTTTCTTAGCAATAATCTAGGTATCAGTTTCTGACAAATCACTTTAATTTCCTATGGGCACATTATTGATTAGCAGTCAAAAGGCAAAGAAGCAAAATATGGGATTTATCCATCTTGTTCAGAAATATTATTTATTCCCATTAATCCTGCAAATTTCCCCACAGCTCTGCCCATAACTCACAGTTAGATAGTAGGCTGGTGACAGACCTTGTGTAATGGACTATGGTACAGCCAGGCTCTCAAAGAGCCAGGCTTGTTCTGGTAGAGTGCTTTGGCATTGCGCTGGAGGGAAATAATGATGTAGTCAATATTTGTTACCCACCTGGCCAGTGCCAAGAGGCTGATCAGGAGGCTGGAAATCCTATTAGCAGACATACGATGCTTTTTATTTTAATGATTTCCTGCACACATAATGAGAGGATTGTGCCAGGAAACTAATAAATTACCATGTACCATGCGGTACATCATGCTCTTGCAGTAAAATAGTCTAGAAAGGTTCAAGTTCAGAGATGGAGCATGATCACTTCTGACGTCAGTAAATCTCCAAGAGACAGCAGTGAGCGAGAGGGGAGCAGGCTGGAGACAGGGTTTTTGAGAAGAGCCGATGGAATACGAGGCTTCCACTGCTTCTGGCGAGGCGGTCTGGGCGCCCACTGGGGTGGCAGGTACGTGAGGGTAGGAGGATTAGATCTATATGGCCCTGAGACTCGTTACCCGGCTTCTCCAGACAGCTATGTGAGTGTTTTTGGACCCCGTCAGATGTTCCAGGTAAAAGCATATGAGCTGGAAATTATCAGCTAAGAATGAGTCCTCTCTTGTGTGTCATGTCTTTATGTCTGAAGTGGGCTCCGGCCAGGTTCATTGTTGTCCGAGTTGTGTGCTGGAAAGAGTTGTGGTCTGGTGGACAGTTTGAATACTTCTCTTCATCAGACAACCCAGGGCATCTTTTTTTTTTAAGCTCTTCCATGGGGAATGGCTGAACTTTTTTTTTTTTTTTAATCTGGAAGCAGAAAAACTTTTTTTTTTTTTTTTAATCTGGAAGCAGAAAAAAGACTGTTATCTAAATCCAGACTGAGGTATTAAGCAGACTTAAAAAAGAAGTGACAGAGTCCTGAGAGGAAATGTGACTGTCTAAGAAGTCCACCTCTCTTTTACATTGAAAATAGCTAGTTTCCTCAGGAGAAATTGGGGACATAAAATTGAAGATAAACTCTGTTGCACACAGATGTGTTAAAAAGAAACATATAGTTATCATGGAGGAAGGCATCTTATGAGAGAGACACAGTGTGGCATGGACAGTAGTGAGCTACCCATATAGCCCAGAACAGAAAATACGTGTCTTCAAATGCATAAATGGGGAAGAGAGAAGGCAGTGACAAAATGGGCAGTATTTCTGCCAGTTCATTTGGTGGTATTAGGTGTTTAGAGTACATCTTTTGTTACTGTATTGTGTGAGATGGACAGAGTGTCTACATTACAGATGTGTGTTCCAGTGACCTTTATGGAAAAAAACATCTTAAACAAAAAGTTCTTAAAAGACCCTCATCCTTTTTTCCTTTGTGCAGCCTGAGTAATCAGTTTCTATCATAAAATAATTCTTGCCCTGAGGAGATATCTTGAATTATTTTGTTGTACTCTAAGAAAATGTCTGTTCTCTGCCTGGCTTTTTTGCCCCAGGAGAAGACCGAGAGAACAATGTTTATCAGTCACTAAGGGTAGAGACACAGATCCAGCTATTGCAGCTGAGGTTTTGTTGTTGTGCTGTTGTTATCAACAACATAAAAATATAAAGCAGATCATTTGACCATAAGATGAGCACATTCCTGTTGAACTCTAGGTGACCTAAATCTTCCATCTCTCTGCAGAACTTCCATGTTTCTCACTTAAGAAAAATTCTTCCTAAACAGTAAGGTTTTGCTTTTGACAGTGAAATGCTCTTTGAGTGCTTTTGCTTATAGGGTTTTAATGGACTGACTTGGGGTAGACAAAGAAAAGATATGCTTGAATGAATGTAAAAGGACACCCTTACAAAGAGTAATAGTAACATCCAGATAATATTTAACTATATAGTTATAGTTATATATATACTATATATAGTATAGTTTTTATTGTTTGATGAAGTATTATTTATTATCTAGTGCTTTGTACTATCATCACATTACAAGATTGAAAAGGAACTCTTGTAGTGTGTTTGTTAACCTTACGATAAGTAAGGTTTGTAATGCCTTTTTGGATTTCAGATGACTATGGATCTAGACTACAATTTTTATTTTTTAAGTCATCAAGACCTGTTTCTGTAAATGAGAACTCTCTATAAAAACAACTTTTACTTGACAGTGAAAGTCATAATGAGGAGTTTTACAATGACAGAGATTGTAACGTGCATTTTTTTGCAGCTTCCTATTTCAGTGTGTTTTCCTTTATGCACAGAAGAAAATTGGGCACAAATTAAATTTTGTCTGTTTTTCAAGATCCTTGAGGACAAGGGAGAGATGAGGATGTCTCTCCTATCTACTGGGCACTGCATAAGTTTTCCAGTTCTTTTCCTTTTTTTTTTCCTTTTTTTTTCCACAGCTGACACACAATATCTTCAGTGCTGTAATATGAGCTGTTATAAATCTGTTGTAAACTTTTCCTCCTACCCCTTCAGCATGTGACAGTGACCACTGGGGACCTCATTGCAGCAGCCGTTGCCAGTGCAAAAACGAAGCCTTATGCAACCCCATCACTGGAGCCTGCCACTGTGCATCAGGTTTCAAAGGCTGGCGCTGCGAGGAACGTTGTGACCAAGGGACATATGGGAACGACTGCCATCAAAAATGTCAGTGTCAAAATGGAGCCACCTGCAACCATGTGACTGGAGAGTGCAGATGTCCTCCTGGATACACTGGTGCCTTGTAAGCAGAGCGTGTGTTATTTGTTGGGGGGAGTTTGGGGATTTGGCTAGTATTATGAACAGAAATTCAGAAAAAAAAATGCTATTGTGTGTAACAGAGGAGCACAACTGAGTAAGAAGAACTGGGCAAGCCTTCTTTGCATGCATTTGCAGAAGTGCAGTCAAAATAAAGTCCCCTCAATCTAGACTGCTTAATAAAAGCTACAAAAGGAGTCAGAGGACCTTCTTTATGGCCCATGTGAGTGTTATTTGGCTGAAAATTTGGAAAATAGCACTGAAACATACGGCTGTTTGGATTCCTCATTCTAGATATATTTTTGAGATGTGTCAGTAACTATGAGCCACTACCAAGCTGAATTAGTGAAGACAGAGATGTCTTCCAATAAGAAAATATCTGTTTACAAAATTCCCAGACTGCTGGATTTGCTTCCTTATATTTGCTGCATGGATACTACATACTGTTCAGTTTGCTTCTCTGTTAGTTTGTACTGCCCTTCTGTTTCATACTTCCTTTCTGGAAAACTAGAAACGTTTAATAGAACATTTAACACAGAGATGCCCAAGTGATGGCTGTGTCTTCCCACCCCTGCAGCTGTGAGGACCTCTGCCCGCCGGGGAAGCACGGGCGGCAGTGCGAGGAGAGGTGTCCCTGCCAGAACGGAGGCGTGTGCCACCACGTCACAGGGGAGTGTGCCTGCCCGCCCGGATGGATGGTAAAAACGCTCCCCACAAGCAGCGCCCAAAAGGATCCGCGTTTGTACACTTTGGGCGGTGTTAGAAATGAGTAGCGAATTAGGATAGCAAAGGCGGTCTGCCGGCAGCCAGGAATAATAGGAGATGTTTTTTTAGCATACACTGCTCCTACAATGGACTGGAATAAAATACTTGCAAAACCATCTGTTATTGAATATCCCTGAGACTTGTACTGCTTTTTTTTTTTTTTAACCATGTCAGATTCTGGGAGACAAAGAAATTGATTCGTGCTGTGAAAACACCACATCCTCTAAACCTGTCTAGATAGGAAAGTACCACCGTTATATATTTTGGGGTGGTGGTAGTGATGGAAACAGGACACTATGATTTTGACAATCTCTTCAGACTTTTTATCCTTTTGTCAGTGAGTATGGGAAGAATTGACCTCTGAGCTGTAAATGAAATGCCTTCCCTCCTGTGAGGATAGTCTTCCCTCACAGGAGGAGAATTTCCAGTTGCACTGGAAAGTGATCAAAACCTAAGTAGCATTCTAATATTTTTAGATATTATTCATTAATAGCAAAATGATTTCTATTGGGATGAAAATGTGCTTGACTTTTTGATTAGCTCGCATATAGAAGTAATTCTGTAGTAGAGGTTTTCACCAACTGGAGAGCATAGTTACAAATGGATCGAATCTTTTTTATGTTTACATATCACCACTCACTTAGGTACCTAACTGACATTATGGCAATTCTTACTAAACAGTAGAAAAACATAAATTAATGGTGATAAAATACAAGTGTTTATATGAATTCTTGATTCTCTTTATTGGCCTAAATACAGATAGTGAAAAATGATGTTGCATGTTTACATGTGATTAAAATTTTATAATAATGTGTGTTAACTAATATATTTCTAATTAGCTCTTTGACTAATTTTCCATTCCAAGTGGTTATTTAGTCATTACTCTTCGTTAGTTTTATTTTTTGCCATTATATAAACTGCAATTTTATCTGCGTAACCTTTTTGCTTCTCATGTAAGGTTGGTATAAAATAGCCAGGCATAAAGTATAGTAATGTTTTACATTAGTTCTGATGAAATGCCTTTAAGTGTGTTCCTCTTGATTTGACTTCTTAAGATCTTATTTTCCTCTTATTGCAGAGGTATAATTAATTCCAAGGAGGTAAATAGCATTGAAGAAATTTGAGGTGTTCATAAGGGAAGCGCAAATCATTCCATAAACTTTTAAGACATGTTGCTTTTCAATGAGATTATAAAGTGCTATTTTTTTTTCTTTAACCCAGCTGATCATGGAGTAGTGTAATTGCTGCATTACAGCAATTACTGCTTTCTACACCAGTATTCACCGGAAGGCATTTCCGGATGTCTTGATAAATTCTACTCCTGATAAAGAAATTGAGAAGAACTTGATGTCAATTAGTCTTAAATGTCTAAGTGTTCACTGTTGCTTAGAGGTGATGTTTTTCATTAGCTTTGGCTTCCAGAATGGAAATCCTGGATTATCCCCCCAGTGCTGAGACATACCCCTGTGTAAAATTGGAGAAGAGTGTAGCATGTCCAAGATGAATGCTAGATGCAGGTTGCATGATCTCCTTGCTCCCCTTCATTACAAATCTTACTTCCCTGCTGTTTTGGCTGCAGTCTGGAGACTGATGTTCAGATTTCTTTGCACACACAGGGCACAGTCTGTGGTCAGCCTTGTCCTGAGGGTCGTTATGGAAAAAACTGTTCCCAAGAGTGTCAGTGCCACAATGGAGGGACCTGTGACTCAGCGACAGGTCAATGCCATTGCAGCCCAGGCTACACAGGCGAACGGTAAGGAAAGCCCATGGAACCTGCAGAGGGTCTACTGCAATAGGGAAAATTAAGAAGGGGTAGAAAGCCAAATGAGGGTGTTGGTGATATGCTTAAAGGAACTGTGTGAAATGTTTGCTGTGTCACTTAGCTGACGCTAAATTGTATGCTAAAGGTGCAGAAATGGAAGATGTTCTGTGAAAATCTGTTTGGTCTGGGGATTTTTGTGCTGGGGCCGTGCGCTGCCAGTGCCTTGTGGTCTCCGTTTGGGTGGTGTGCAGAATGACGCAGTTTGAGGCATGGCAAGGCGGCAAGAGAGGAAGCTCTTGGTTTTCCACAGATGTTTGACAGATGGACTGGCAAGGGAGGCTCATTCTGTTCTTCAAAGTGGGTTCTTCCCGGAAGCATTTCACTGAAATGACGAAACAGAGTATTTTTATTTTCTGACTTTGCCATTAAAAATCTTCTTTGGTAGAATTCGGAGAAAAAAAATGGATAGCAAGAGTTACCTTTCTGAGGGCAGTGTAAAGTGGTGATAGAAGTGCTTTGCTGCCTATATTTTAAGCAGTACAGCAACACATTTGCTGAAGTCAGCAGCAGCTTAATCACTGGGGTCAATCCAGGGGATCTCTGCCAACAGTAGTAGGTATTATAACCGTATGCACTTCCCACGCGAGCGTTCACAGGATCTGGGGAGAACTGGCCAGCACGTAGGAGAAAAAAACCATGAAGAAAAAGCAAAACAATCAGTCCGGAGCCATTTGATTGCAAAATTAAATGCTTGCCTCTGTGAAGAAACAGTGCAGAAAATGGTAGATACATTAAAAAAAAAATGAAAGGAAAATTGAAGGAATATCTGTACACAAATCTGCAGACTACACTCTGACGTTTGTAAAAGCTATTAACATTTTTTGTCTTGGAATTTAAATCTTAACTCTAATCTGAAATGCCTTCCAAGCTGCAGCATTTTGATCCCTTTACCAAGTCTAAGATTCCTTTTTGCTGCATAATGGACTATATTTGCAACTCGTGTGTTTTCCAAGCTATTGCTAAGGTCAGGAATGGGTCATAAGCAAGGTGGGAGACACACATTTCTTATTTCACATCAGCTGACTGGCAAGAGAGGGTAATATTACAAGAAAAGCTATGTATGAGATAATATATGTGGATCAGCAGCAAAAAAAGGATGGTGTATAAAGATGTTAACTACTCTCCACTTATGTTTGTAATTTCAACAGCATTTGTCTTAGATTTTGGTGCGGTAGTGACTTCAGGTAGTCAGTCTTACAGAAAGAAAAAGCACTGCTAAGGCATGTAGCTGTGTTTCTGCGTGATTTAAGTTAATGCAGGGTAATCTGGTTTGAATTACTATGCTAATTGTTCTACCAAATACTTCTTGATTGATACTCATCTTCATTGCAAAATTGAGAGGATTCTTAACATGTTGATGAGGACAGAGTTCTGCAAAGTTAAATTTCATCTAATGAAATTCTGATTTTCATTTGGGGAAATTTAATTCTCGGCTTTCTTTGTGTAACCGCATTAGGAAATATTTCGCTTTATCTATTTGCTGCATTATAATGCTGCCACTCTCAAGCAAGAAGAGATTTTACTGATGGCTTCAGTGAGAACAACATTGCAGATATCTTGAAACTTCTGGATAACAGGGTCCAATCGAGGTGGATGCTACAGAAGCATGAAATATGAACGTTTTACACATTTTCTGTTAAATCGTGTTACATTTGGTGCTGCCTTGAGAAACTTCCAGATATCCAAGTTGCAGAGGATGTAGTGTGTTATATGTTTCCTGATGGCCTCAGGACTTCCGTGTCAGCATGTCCTGGGTAGAGGGTTTGGCATTCAGCTGTTTTGTCTTGCCATTTATATGAACTGCTGAATGTATTTTATAGTTTATAGAATGCTTATATTAAAAAATACAGGAGTTTTTCCTGATTGATAAAATAAAATTTGGGGAGGTGAGAAGGGTAGGGTGGTGAAGGTATTTTGGAAACATATGTTTGGAAACACACTGCTTTAACACTAACAACAAGAAGGTACAGATTGGATGGCTTTTGAAACTTCTTTGCTTCTTCTCATACTTAAGATCTGATTAAGAGGGTTTCATTTTGTTCTTTTTCTTTTGTAAGAAATAAGACCACTTGAATGAAAATGGTCTGGGTAGTAGTTGTCTTCCTTTAGGAGAAAAAGAGAACTTTTTCAAGAAGAGAGAACTTTTTCAAGAAGAATTTGCAGAATCAGAGTTTCTAACCTGTCCTCTGTGATAAACCATAAAAGCCAAATGACAGACGGTTTTAAATATAGATTTACATAAATACAAATGCCTGTACTTCAAGAGCTGTAGAGCTGTATCAGAGGTTCTTCATAAACTGTAAATTCTAGTTCATGGAAAGTGAACTTTTTTCTTTTCTTTTTGCTTTTCTCACAGATGTCAGGACGAGTGCCCCGTGGGGACATTTGGAGTACAGTGTGCTGAGACCTGCCGGTGTATGAATGGTGGGAAATGCTACCATATTAGTGGTGCATGTCTCTGTGAACCAGGATATACAGGAGAGCACTGTGAAACAAGGCTCTGCCCTGAGGGAATTTATGGTCTCAAGTGCGACAAAAAGTGTCCTTGTCACTTGCCAAATACCTTCAGGTGAGTTTTATACTCTTTAGCACAGTCTTTCTATATGGGATATTGCAACCATCATAGAATCCTGAAAAGAAATAATTCCCATTGCTTCCAAGGACAACCTTGCAAACTACAGCAGTTAAAGATTGACAAAGAGTTTTTAGTATTTTATACCTACAGCAAGCAAGAAAGTATCAATCCAAAAGAACTTAATAAGACAAAGGCCTTTGTCTATATTTATCATATGAATAAGTGTCTATATTATGCATCAGATTAAGTCAGGAGACCTTATATCCTCCTCTTGTATTCTGGGGTACTGTGAATCAGAAGTAATTGAATTTGAAGTCAGTGGATATATCTTCTTATGAGCCTGGTATCAGAAGAGGATTGATTTCTCTTTCTCTGTATATGCTTAAAAGAATTGGAGTATGTAATTGTTTTAATACAAAATTTCTGAGGAATTCCCAGTTATAACTGTAAATTTCATTGTCATTTAAACAGTATTACAGAAAGCAGATAAAATCTGGTGGTTAAAAATAGAATTAAAATAGTTTTCTAACTTGTCTTCCTTTTACTCTCTCTTTATTTAGGCAATGACAAGACATATTTTTTGGGTTTTCTATGCCTTTATAGATTTCATTACATTTTACTGTGAGGTCACAAAAATCCAAAAAGCAGCTATTCTGAGGTGATTTTTGGCTATGGAGCAGGAGATCAGTTAAGACAAGCGAACAGTTCTCATTGCCACCTTTTTCTTATCTCTGAGCATAGTTTTTTGTGAAATATTTCAGTCTTTGTGCATTTGCTTGCATATGATTCTGTTATTCATAGTTTGGTTAGATGAGTTTTGTGAGCTTAGTCCAAATATTTCTCTGTCACAAACTCAAAGAAACTATTTAGTATTACAGAGTACTGTTGTACATTGTATCTAAGGTGTGCTTTTCCTCATAGGTTAAACAGAAGCCTTGAATCAGAATTTAAAAGAGATGTTATAGTGCTCAGCCATGTGTATGCAAATATTTCAGACCTCAGGCGTCCATGAAAATATCTTTGTGGATTATCTGGATTGTTCAACATATCTTTCATTGACAAACCATGTGGAAGTGAAGTGGTTTTTTTTCGCTTTCCATTCAAATGTTCTGGCTGTCATGTGTTTGCACTTCTGTTTATTCCATTTACTTGAAATATGTTCTGAAAAAAATACTGTTTTATTTTTTGACATAAAATCAAGCACTTTATTCTTTGGGCAGAACATTCAAAAATAAATGGAATGATAATCCCAGCCTAACTCTCAAATTATTCGTGTAGTCCAAGTACTATTGTATTATGAATAATGGTTTAGCTGCTTTCCTGCAAATTTGTCTGCAGACTGTTGTGGAAGCTTTGTTTGACATAAATATATTACGTGGTATAGTATTTCTGATATTTCAGGGATTACTTCTGATTCATGTTCAACACAGCTGTTCCTTCATTTATACCGCTGGAAGACAGCTTGTGGTCAAATTAGATCACAAATGTTCGCATGTAAACAGCAGCATATGGTTGGTCTTTTTCTGAACGTTTTCTCCTCTGCATGACAAATCACAAGGGATTTAAGAACATTTTAGGTAGTGTGGGAGAATGTTTATCTTTAAATACATGGTAATGTGAGCAGAAAACAAAAATTTTCAGGACTTCACAAGTATATTTTTCATACATGGTGTCAGAAAATGACTGAGACCACCAAATAATAGAAATCAAATAGTATCTGGGTAATAATGTAGAAGAGAGATCTCCTCTGCAGACATCTTCCTTTATGCTTTTGACAATCTACTTGTGTCTGGGTGTCTTCACCTGTGATTAAATGTCAGTCAGACAGGAGACATACCAGGAAATACTCTTGCCGTAAATACTCATTATCAGGAAATGCTCATTTGCCGTAATATTTGGCCTAAGAGATCTTCACCTTGTTAACCCCTTTGGCAGCATAACAACCAGGACACTGAAAAGGGGATGTGTTCCCTGCTTGGGATCAACTGTAAGTGTCCACAGGTCCGGGATTCTGCTAGGACTTCTAGCAAATAATTATCATAAAGTCATGTTTCACCTGGGCTTGTCCACTGCTTTAGAGCTTTAGTGTCCTCAAAGAGGACAATACCTCTGGCAATACCAGAGTACTTAGGTTTTAATGTATTTTCTTGGCAATCATAGAAATAATGATGAACTAAAGGTTAGTTAAAAATTAATATTTGCCAGTAAAAAATAGTGAGGTAAACAAGGAATACCTAAATTGCACTATACAAGAGTGTGTCTAGCTATTTTTCTTCTAATGCCTAAAGATGAAACATTATTACAATATGCTATAGTTTTTTTAAGAAGTTGTGTCTTTTTATTATTATATTGCAATTGAGAAAAATATAACAAGAGAGCTTTGACAATAACTCATGATTTTCAAGCTTCTATCAATTTGCATTTATGGTAGGTTCAGTTACATGTATTTCACTGTTGTTGCTGGTTGATGGCATCTGTTGGGAATAAAAGGCCTGCTCATCATCGTTCATCACTAGATCAGCAGCCTTTGGTGAAGGCTCTGTCAAGGGTTAGATACAGAGCTACTGGAGAGGTTTTGCACTTTTTTAAGGGTCCAGTGGGCAGCAGTAGGTAACAACCCTCTGGTGCCAAGTGTTCTTTTTGCAAACATTTATTCTCCGCCGCATCTTCTAACATACATACATCTTCCTTTTCTGTACATAAGAGGACTTGAGGTAGAGTGCAAAACAACACAGTTCTTTGTTCTCTGTGACCAGGTGACTCAACCAGTATTTCCCTTTGTTTGAAAACTTGTCAAGAATAAAACCGGAGTGAGTGTTTGCTGGCTGAGGCTAAGAGCCCATAGGAGAAGCAGTGTTTTCCTCCATGAGGAGCAGGTAGCACTGGTGAGCTGGTGTGAAGACTGTTTGCTGAGCAGATCCGTGTACTTTTGTCACGTAGATCCATGCTTTAGGGAACTGTGCATTTTGAAGATCCAGTTTGCAGGAGTGAGCAAAAAAGACTTCTGTATCTACCTCTGTCAGCATTGCCCTGTTCGTTCCATACAAGAATCTTCTTAAGCATCAGTGATTCCTTTATTCAAGCAACACCTAATAATTATAAACTGGGAAATATAGAAAGAGCAGGCTGTTCCTGTGTATTTAGCCAGAAGCACTAAGAAGGGTGTGCATTACCTCTGTGTTTCTGCAAGTGCAGCAGTTTCAGGTTAATTTCTGAGATAAATTCAAGATGTCATTCTTTTTGTTAAAGCTAAAATTAAAGCACAACATCATTTTGGATTTTTCCAAAATTTCCCTTTTTCATGGCAACTTTATATTGCATGAAGTGCTACAGAAATTATGTGGTTGTTTTAATGCCTATGTAAATCTTCTGAAATTATGTAGTCCATCTAAATCTTCCTAATATATATTGTCCACTTCTCACAAATAATCTTTTTCTCTATATGAAGTAAGTCTATATTGTAAGGTAATGTGAACAAAAGGCAAGGATTAAAAGCAGATGTACCAGCAAAATCTCTCAACTTCTCTTTACTTCCCTATCTTAATATATAAATCCTATTGCCAATTAAGCTAACTGCATGAGGACCCATCAAAAAAGCTTCAGAAGTGCTCCAGCTTCCTACCTCTAATTGCAAATCAGTGAATACTAATTTTGGTGTCAATCAATAAATGTGCAAGTATGCCTTAGTAACACTCACTGGGGGGCACAGAATATCAATGCCTCTGCCTCATAAGCAAGGCTTGTTCATGCACATGGTCTTCCCTTCTTCTTATAATAAATAAAAAAATAAAAACAACCCCTGGATTTATTTCTTAAAACAACACTATTAATAATTTTGTGTTTTAAGATATCTTCCCATGCAGATTCTAGTGACTACTCTGTTGTGGATTGAAAAGTCTTTTCATATTCCCTGAGTCATTCCATTGATAGAAAACATAGGAGTTGGACGTCAAATGCCTTTGGATATGTACAGGAAGAAATTAGGAGCAGAGGGCAAATCTAATTCTCATAATGTGCTTTCTTGATGTAGCATGTACTTTATGTAAGAATAAACAACACAGTTATGAGCACTGTGTGTTTGGAATGTTTTCCACCTATGCATTCCAAACTGTCTCTGTTGCTGTTTAGTTGAAAAGATTAAGACTTTTCCTGTCAGTTTTATATAAACCAGTGCAGGACCATTAAAAACAGTTTTTAATACATTAAAAAAAAGGGTTTTCAAATTCTTGTCATGTTGCAGTGTGTGGAATGATATATAGACAGCAAAAAGTAAAAAAAAGAAAAAAAAAAAGGATATTCTGTATCTTTCTAAATAAAGTTCTCCTTGATCAGCAGTACATTGTTGGTTGGTTGTATTTGGCAGTAAGAAATTCTTAATTTGACAAGAGCAGCCCTGGCATCCAGGAGCAGTTGCAGTTAATGTTGCATTCTGTTGTTGTGCTGGAACTATTTCCAAGAGTATCATTATTCCTTATGCACCTAAAAGTGCAATAAGAGCTTTTTGGAACTTTGAAATGGTTAGAAAAGCACTTGATTCCATAAACAGACCCCCAGAAAGAGTCAGCAAATCTTGCAAAATTAGCGTGTTGTCATGGGTCATTTAATGCGTCTGGACAAAGGCACATTTTTTCCAGCACGCTTAAAGGAACTGCACTTCAATCAGTGGCAGGAGACGATCTTTAAACAGTCTTCCCATTGTAGATATATTGGATTTGGATATTAAGACCTTCCTTTGGTGAGAATTAAGCAAGTGCTTTGTCTGCCAGAGGGCTACAGAGTAGCCCATTGTGTCCGCTTTTCCAGCACATACATCTTTGCGCAGCTGATGATGTCCATTTGTTACGAGGCAACAGCTGGCCGGCTGGGCGCTCAATGCGGCTGCTGTTCCAGGTAGGGACAGCTGGGCTGCCCCAGGTATGGCCAGCACAGGGGAGATGCTCTCCGAAAGGTTGCTGGGCCTCGCGGTGTGTGCCTGACTTCCTCCCCACACAACTGATGCGGTGATGTTCCTGGAGAGGTGCCAGGTGGACCTTTATTCAGCCAAAGTTTTCATGGAAAGAGCATGTGCATCACTGAATGTTGTGCTGTCATTTTAGCAAAGTGTGTGCCCAGGGCAATACATGGCTTTACTTCATTGGTGTGCAAAAAGAGAGATATTTTGAGAATTTAAATTTTCATCATTTGCTAAGTATAATTATTATTCATTTTACAGTCACTAGAACTATCTTACAGATAGGATTGCTTGCTTTAGTTTGCTTGCTTGTTTGTTTGTTTGAATCTAGCCAAAGTACTACATTTCCCACCAGAAGATTTTGTTTTGTATGCTTCTACTCTTTCTCATATTAATTGGTATAGGTATATATGTATAGTCCTATGTTTTGTGTTCTGAGGAAAGGAAAATATTTCTGTACATTATATGCTAGACACTTTTTGCAGCCTATCTATAACAGCATTTTGTTCACTGGACAAAAAAAAGAAAAAAAGTTTTGGTGTCGTATTTTGTCTTGAATTACTTATCTTTTCATCCCGTCTTGGCAGCTGTCACCCAATGTCTGGGGAATGCTCCTGCAAGCGAGGCTGGTCTGGGCTCTACTGCAACGAGACGTGTTCACCAGGATTTTATGGCGAGTCTTGTCAGCAGATTTGCAGCTGCCAAAATGGTGCCGACTGCGACAGTGTGACTGGAAAATGCATCTGTGCCCCTGGATTTAAGGTAAATGAATCTCACTTTAACCATCCTTTCTCTTTCTTTTTTTTTCTGACTCCCCTGCCTCTAACTAAGTGCAAAGTTCTTCAAGATGCTGTGTGTCCTTTCTCTACTTAAGTGAAGGACAGTGAGGAAATGCAGGTCCCACTTCACAGGGTCACAGAATCACAGAATGGTTAAGGCTGGAAGGGGCCTCTAGCGATCATCTAGTCCAACCTCCCTGCTCCAGCAGGGACACCTAGAACACATGGCACATGGGTGTCCAGGCAGGTTTTGATGATCTCCAGAGAAGGAGACTCCACAACCTCTCTGGGCAGCCTGTTCCAGAGCTCTGTCACCCTCACAATAAAGAAGTTCTTCCTCAAATGAAAATGGAACTTCCTGTGTTTCAATTTGTACCCGTTACTCGTTGTCCTGTCACTGGCCACCACCAAGAAGAGCCTGGCCCCTCTCTACATTCTCCTTTAGATATTTGTACATGTTGATAAGATTCCCTCTCAATCTTCTCTTCTCCAGGCTAAACAGGCCCAGCTCGCTTAGTCTTTCCTCATAAGATAGATGTTCAAGCCCCTTTTTATATTTGTCGCTTTTTGTTGGACCCTCTCTAGAAGCTCCACGTCCCTCTTGTACTGGGGAGCCCAGAACTGCCCCCAATACTCCAGGTGCAGCCTCACCAGAGCTGAGCAGAGGGGCAGGATCACCTCCCTCCACCTGCTGGCAACGCTGCTCCTGATGCAGGCCAGGATCCCATTGGCCTTCTTGGCCACCAGGGCACATTGCTGCCTCATGGTTAACTTCTTGTCAACCAGGGCTCCCAAATCCCTCTCCGCGGAGCTGCTTTGAGCAGGGCAACCCGTAATCTGTCCTGGTGCCTGCGGTTATTCCTCCCCAGGTGCAGGACCCTGCACTTGTCCTTGTTGAACCTCATGAGGTTCCTCTCTGGCCCAGCTCTCCATCCTGTCCAGGTCTCTCTGAATGGCAGCACAGCTCTTGGGAGTGTCAGCCACTCATCTGCAAACTTGCAATTTGGGCACTCTCTGCCCTTGTTCAAGTCATTGATGAACAAGTTGAACAGCTTGGGCCCAGCACTGATCTGTGGGAGACAGCACTGGGCACAGGCCTCCAACCAGACTCAGCCCCATTTATCACCAACCTTTGTGCTCTGCCATCCAGCCAGTCCTCAATCCACTTCACTGCCCCCTCATCCAGTCCACACTTCCTGAGCTTCCTAATGAGGATGTTATTGGAGACTGTATCGAAAGCCTTGCTAAAGTCAAGGTAGACAACATCCAGTTGGTGTACTGTAGCATAAGGATCAGAAAAAGGCAATATGTGTGATTAACTTTCAGTCCTGGAATGAAACTATTAAAGTCTGTATTCTTTTTTTTTTTTTCCTTTTTTAATACTTTATAAGGGAATAGTAAGACCTAGCATATGCAATAATGATGTGAATAAGATGAGGAACTAGGAAACTTGTGTGTAGGTTTCGGTTATTATTGCATCAATTCCTTATGCTCCATCCAGAGATGCCTTAGACAAGATGATGTTTTTTATAATTTAGTTCACACTGTTAATTGTTTTTTACACACCTTTGCTGTTACCTACACATTGGATGCTAATAACATATTGTAGAAAATATTTTTAATATTACTCCTCTTTAAGTGGTAAGTGCTGTGCAAACTTCTACCATGTTATGTTTTAAAAAAATTCCCTGACTGTTATTTTCCATTGAATTGGTACTTTATATTAGATTTTGCTGTCATAAATTGCTTCGTCATTAGTTAAAATTCTCACCCTTGGGCTAACCAAGTGCTGTTAGATATGCGACATGCGCTTTCCTAGCAACTAGGCTAAAACTAATGCTTACCGTAATCTTAAAGAGCATGAAGAGCTCTGCAAAAAGCTTTCCCTTAAATTCAGGATGATTTGATGGCAACTTAAAACAGTTTTGCACTGTGGACTTTCTGGTCCCCAGCCTAGAAGTCAGACTTCCTAAGTCAGTCTTCACAGTCAGTCAATCTTAGATGCAAGTCATTTGTCAGTTATTGTTTTATTGTCGGAACCTCCTAAAATAGCTTTGCAAATCTAATTTTGTATAATTCAGGGTGCTGACTGTGGTACTCCTTGTCTTCCGGGAACATATGGAGTAAATTGTTCTTCTGTGTGCAACTGCAAAAATGAAGCCATCTGTTCACCAGTGGATGGTTCTTGTACCTGCAAAGCAGGTAAGAATATTTTCAGATTAACTCTGAAATTTCTATAATCATAAAGTCAAAGCAAGTTTGTAGTAGAGAAAAGAAACTTAGTAAAAACCAGACAACCTTGCAAGCCATGCCAGTAGCTACTTCCTACTTCTGCTGCTCAGGGAGGTGACAAATGGGAAAACATCTGCTCAGGGAAGAGCACATGTACCTCGTGTTTGCTCTGTGCACTTCACAATAAGATGGATGCCATGGCTGGGTGGATTACGAATATTTACCTTCAGACAGGATGCCAGACTTTGCCAGACTTGTCTATCAGACAGACTTTGTTCTTGTGGAAGTGCCAGGAGCTGGTAAAGTGGCTACTGATATGCAATGGATTTGATGGCACCCTTCCCAGTGAAAACACTGCCTTGCTGCCTCTCAGTCCGCAAAACATCCAATTCTTCTGCCATCCTCGCCTGCTTCAGCATTGCAGAGATGCAGTTTTCTACCTGCCAGTTTAATACTTGTGTTGATACCTATATGGTTTTCAATAGAATACACTTTTCCTTAATGATTCTATGACAAACTTGCATGCCTGCCTTCCCAACCTCGTGGGTCTTTGTGCCATCACCATCCACAGGGCCGTCCCATGTCTCCTTCAGAAAATTTCTGCATCTTCCGGTCTTAGTGCAGATGAACTCAGCCTCCTCAGCTCTTCTGCCTACTGCTCTCTACTCACCACTAGATGGTTGGTATATGCTCCACCTGAACCTATATGTCCCTGTATACCTTCTGGAAGCAAGTGCCAGTTAAGGTGTTGGCAGAAGCTGCACTAGCTTAGCCACCCTGCAGCACAGGTTCTGCCAAGATGCTTTTCCATGTAAAGATCTACAAGTCCATGTGCAGCCCATTCAACCTAGACTATAATACCAAGTTCCATGGAGAGTTACACTCTTGAAATATAAAGACTGAGAACCTGTTGTTCTCTTGTTTCTTCCTCTCTGTGGGAAAGGTCAAAAGCATCTCTCAGCTGTGATGCTGGATTGCTGAGAAGAGAGAGGGCAGCGAACATTCCTGAGTGAATCCCATGCCTACACTGTGTTACAAACACCCCCTTCACGCCCTCCAAAATACATTTAATGAAAATACAGGAAGGCTGAGTGTGACAGAGAAGTGGTCGAGTTACCTAGGCAAATGGGCACTGAATAAGCCAGGGATTGATACTGTTAAATCAGTCTGGTAGCAACTCTGCAGGGTTTGCAGCTTCTCCTCCCATCAGCTGCAACAGAGCAGATGTAACTCTGTTGAGTGTCTTTGCTCAGTAGCTAGACTGGGAGGAGAAAAACTGTTCTCCTGAGCTGTGCATAACCCTATCTGCTTGTACGTGATGCAGATTTTAATCATACTAAGATGAAAAGGGACTGCAAATAGAAAAATGGATTTATTAGGCTAAAATCAAACACTCGTCATATAAAAATTACTGTTGGATCCAGCCACTAAATCAAAAGCAATGACATAAGGTCTCCCTGAATAGATAGGGATATTACCTGCATATGGAAAATATCTCAGATGTCCAGCATTTTAAAGGCTGATTGGACACCACTGAGCCAGTGAGAAAAATCTCATTAGTTTAAATGAAATGAGGATTCCTTTTGTTTTCATCTGTTTCATATAACTATATGTCTTCCCTGCTTCACTTCCTCCTTCAGAAAACCCTACTTCTTCATTTTGAATTAATAATCATATTACTATTCAGTCTTCCTGATGCATTAGGAACAAGCTCTAGCTCTGAAGAAAACATGTTTGTGTGGGTGGGTTAGTGCATGGTAAGAGAATATACCCCATCTGTCATAGGCACATTCCAAATCTTGTTATCCTTTGTGGAATTGCCTCTTTTTGTGATGCTTATATTATGGGAAACTATTCAAGGAGAGATAGATGGAAACTTATAAATCTGAGAAAATATTTCATTTTTCTACCTACGGAAGTGTAGTGTTTTTTTCCTGAAGTGACCTCTAAATTCTGAATTTATCAATCCAGGGCACGAGGCAGATTCATTTCACTGCATGTGTTTTGGATAGCCTATTGATTAGGCTCAGCGCAGAATTATTTTTCCCCTCACTTAACTGTAAACAGAGTACAAAATTAGAAACTTGGCTTTTGTCATTGTTGATGATAACATATGACTCATTCACTTGGTTTCTCTCAAGCCCAATAGATGATCAAATGTTTGAAAACCTATTTACATTTCTGTCTATCTAGTGCTCAGGCTGTGAATCATTTCTATCAGTCATAGTGGTGAATGCAGCTTTTGAAAACATTTTCCATTACTTTTTTTTTTTTTTTTGGATTTGCAAAGGAGAACAGAAACAGTCTAAAAAATTTCTGGGTCCTTGTAGAAATCTAGCTTATGCACTATTTCAGCATTATGTTTTCCTTATGCTTCTTCCTTTCTTTCTTTCTTCCTTCCTTTCTTTCTTTCTTCCTTTCTTCCTTTCTTTCTTTCTTTCTTCCTTTCTTCCTTTCTTTCTTTCTTTCTTCCTTTCTTCCTTTCTTTCTTTCTTTCTTCCTTTCTTCCTTTCTTTCTTTCTCTCCCTCCCTCCCTTCCTTCCTTCCTTCCTTCCTTCCTTCCTTCCTTCCTTCCTTCCTTCCTTCCTTCCTTCCTT